GGTGGCTAAGTTTAATTCAGAAGAGTTTTACAAATGTTATATGGAGAATAACTAACTAGACTAAATCAAAATGTTTTAGCTCAAAATGCATCTAATGGAGGAGTCAAATTCCATCTAATTAAAAACTCTTTTTTGGCTAGTATGATATACCATATATACAACACCCAACTAAATAAACAAGAAGAAGAAGCATGGTATCAAATTGAGAACAAATCTTACAGTTTAACCAACTTGAGCATTTTACTCTGGCAACCTAAGTATTAAAATATGTTAAAATTTGCTAACAACTCTAATACTATTTTAGGCCATCTTATGGGATTTTGGATGAGATCAAAAAACAAATATCAAACCACATTCCCAAATACATTTATCTTGCCTCGTTGGAACATTATATTATGGACATAAACTTGGAGTGGAGACGGAGGGGCATTTTGAAAGTAGATCAAATTATAATGGTTCCCACAAATAACACAAGTACATCAACTTCCAGGATCAAAAATATTAAATAATCTAAGACTAACAAGCTATATAAAGGCCAACTTATTTAGAGAAAGATCAAATATAATAGACAAACTCTTTAATATTCTAAAATATGATCCAATAGCCAAAGTGGTTTCTAGAGGTATGAATCTGTTGATCTCACTGGAATACTACAAAGTTTCCAGTCTTAAAAATTTGGTAAATAGACCTTAATTATAACATAAATATGAAGGAGTGGTGTAAATACGGTCAAAGGTTAAAAAAGTAATGCATTGTATAAACTGGGCAGAAATACAATTTAAGGTATCACACAAGTGGTACTTAGTACCCACAAGATTGACAAAAATGTACCCTGATTATCCATCAATATGCTGGAGATGCAATAAGGCCAATGGAACATATATTAACATGTGGTGGAAATGTGATAAAATAGTCAATACTTGTAAAATGATTTTTCTTTTTATTAAAACTCATACTAATGTAGATTTGAATTTTACTCCAGAAATAACACTTTTGCATCTAAACTGGTCAAAACTAAATCATAAAATATGTTTTCTAATTATACATTGTTTTTTGGCCGTTAACATTACAATTGCAGGCAAATAGAAAAATTCTCAAGGTCTTCTTTGGCCAAATGTATTTAAATAATTACTATTTCAAATTAAAATGGAGAGAAATATCAGTAAATCTCAAGGTTACCACTCCAAAACAACTAAAATATGGGAGGAGTGGTTACATAAATTGGAATTATAGAAGAATAATCAGCCCTATGACATTGTAAACTTAGAAAAGTTGATAGATTCAATTATGTGTGCAATAACTCCTGAGATTATCCCTGCTCAACAACTGATTGATTGATTAAGTCTTGGAAAGCACTGTGAGTATTACGGGACTTTTGTGTACAAATGTGTGTTGATGTTGATCTATAGGCGGACATGATTCTGATTGAGATTGAAAACAGATAATTACTTAATATTAAAAAAAAATGTTTTATGTATGAATTACGTACTCTCTCATGTCTGTCAAAAGTGAAAAAAAAAATAATTGAAAAATTAAAAAAAAAAGAAATGACTACTGCTCCTCATTTTTCATTAATATAGGATAGCAAAGGGAACATGTTAAAATCTATCATTCTAAAAATGTATTTATTTTTCATCCAGATATATAATGATATTTTGCATTAAATTGTTAGAATTTGCATTGAAAAAAAATCCAAAATATTGCAGCCATTTTTGCATGTCGATATAGTCATACTCCCATTTTTGCTGCTGTTCTTACTGTCTGAATAGCTTTCTTGAATATTTTTTGCTACCAAAATTCATCCAAAATGAAAAGTGACATGATTTAAATAATATTTTTTTTTAGTCTGTACTAGTCTATTGACACAATATGACTGTAAGAAAACACACTAATATTCCCTAAGCCCTAAATTCCAATGAACACAAAAAGGTCCCTTTAAAAATATTGAAAAAAACACCTTTATTTCAAAAAAAGACAAGAAATATAAAATATATTGAGGGAACAACAGAGAAGCCTTTATAAAAAAGTCTCAGCTCATAAATTAAGGGGAAGGTAGACAGTGTTACTAACTCAACGTTGCTACAAATCTGTACTCAAAATCTACCCAAAACAAGTTTATTCTGGAACACTGTGTTACCTAGACAACTGCAATAAGATTTGTATTTCAAGAAAGGAGCAATTCACCAGGGTCTTCTAATTACCTAACTTTAAGGCCACTAAGAGCTATGAAATGGTCTCACTAAATAGTTTAAAAAGAGATGCTCTTATGGTGATATACACAAGCAAATTACAAAATAAATTGTAAATCAAAAGAAAAACAGACAAAGTATCTGCAATAATTTAGAGTATTTTCTGTGACTATGATTTCCAGGATATGATGAGCAATGATTGATGAATGGTGGTTGATCAACACATACAATAACTTAACATAGCACAAAGCATTAGCATTTAATATTCTTCATTATAATTTGACAAAATTGGTAAAATAAAGGGACACTATAGCCATCAGAACAACTACACCTTAATGTAGTTTTTCTGGTGAGTATATCCTGTCCCTGCAGGCATTTTGCTGTAAACATCCCGTCCCTGCCTAGGGACAGCTTTATTAGTAGTCAGGGGGAGACTAGAGGTGGTTCCTGGGTCAGTGAATGTGCAGCACTGACATTCAGCATCTCCACGTTCTGCATGAAGACACTGAACATTACTCATAGAGATGCATTGACTAAATGCATCTCTATGAGGTGATGCTGATTGGCCAGAGGGGCATCCACCACCCCACCTCATTAACTAAGATCATACGAATTGACAATCTTAGCCAATCTATAGTAAAGCATTGGATTGGCTGAGATTTTCAACTCTAATTATCTCAGTCAAGGAGGAGGATCAGGGGTGGGCCAGAGGCAGCATATGAAAAATATTTTTATGAACTTTAAATGTATTCAATGTGTTGTAGGAATGTAGAAATATTGTAAGTTATTATTCTAAGCATATCCAGACATCGAAGGGCCATACCCAGATATATACATTACAAACTTACTGTAATTTATACACATACTGTAATTTATACACATATGGTTTTAAGTCAAGAATGATGGATGGAGACTTGTGGATCTTGTTTATAATAACCTTTGACCTAGCCTTGTAAGCCTGAATTCCTGTGAAGGTTCACATTTCTATAGGCAATCATTCATTCCATCATGTAATTAGAAGTCTCTAGAAGGTCTTTGTGTGTAACTTACCAAAACATCATAACGTATGGCTTTAATCATAGATATCGAATAATACTAAGTTACCACCTATTTTTTCTTAGATAACCAATTATTTTAAAGCAGGCAAACCTTATGTCATTATGTATACGCATGTAATTGAATTTTAAACATATAAAAAACCTTTGCAGCTAGAATATTTTACCAATACCTTTTAACATCAAGCTTGGATAAGATCTAGCAGTGAATATACATTGTCTATTGGTCCATATGATTTTAAAACAGACTTTTGTTGTTACTGGATGATGTGTATATTGTAATAAATATACGGTTTTAACTGCAAGACACTCTGATTCGATTTGTTCAGAAAACTGGAAAGGAAAACAAATATCTCACGGAATGCAAATTTCCTACATTTAATGGTGGAGAATGCGGGCAACTTAGATTTAAGTCTGAAGGCATCTTTGATTTAAGTCTGAATTATTACTGACTTAATATTTAAGTGTTCTGCTACAAACTACAAGAAGACAAGAAGATAAGAAAATCGTTGAAGAAAAGTTGAAAGTGTTCTCTGAAGAAAAGCTTTAGTACCCGGCTTGAAACAGGAGAAACACAAGAGACTGATTGATGCAGCAGGATTGCATCCCAAAGATTCTTTGTTTAAAAATCCCAGATCTTATGCGAAGACTGAGGGAAGGCAGGGTGAAGAAGTCGTTCGAACGTGGCAGATTTGTACGTTCAGTACTGAAGCAAGAATTTGAAGATAAATAATTGAGATGGACAATCCGGGTCCTTTTTATCCACACTTTATCAAGTAATTTGTGATGACTTGCAGATCGAAGATTGCATTTTGGAGGATTCTCAAGAATAACTATATACTCCAGAAAGTATTCTTCTATCAGAAAGTGGCCATATCTGTGGAACCAAAATACTTAATGGTTATGTGTCTTGTTTTAAAACATATGTAAAAAGTGCTCTCATATATATATTGTTTGTTAAACAAATTGTTTTAACTGTTTAAGTTAATTATGGAGTGGCTGCAAAGGATTGCTGCCAAATCTAATAATCCTGAAAGTATTTGGGATGATTGTTTATTGAAATTGATAGACTGATTAAGTGAGATAGAGCACAGCAATGTATTTAAAAAGGAAAGTCAAAAAGTTGCATTACTGGCAAAGAGCTTTTTGGAAACTAATGATGCAATGAATGAATGGTGTCAACTTAAAAAGACCAGTAATTGTTATGTATGTAGTACAACAAAACAAAAAAGGGATGTTTTGTTAAAACAACTGAAAAATGTATGTGTTGTCACAAGGACTAGTTATTTCCCTAGCCCCCCCAGCAAAACTGTGAAATCTCCACAAAAGCTGTTAACAGAAGGGAGATTGCCCCCAAGGCTCTCTTTTGATAGTGACTTGGAATCCACGTTAACTGAAACAAAAACTCAAATAGAAAATTCTCGGCAATTGTTGAAAAGTTTTAGTAGGGATGAAGAAAATGAAGATATTAATATAATGAAAGAAATGCTTAGGAACCAGACTGATTTGTTAGATAGAACCCATAAAACCCTGTCTCACATGTCTAAAGAATTAGACATAAATGTTACTAATTTTGACAATTTGCAGAGACAGATTACTAATCTGGGTAGTGCTACAGATATTTTGTGGAAAACTACAAATCAGAAAGATTTGGATTTTACTTTGAAAGAGGAAAGTGACAATATAATAGCGCAAAGATTGAGTTGTGATAACAAACAGGCAAGGAGTGACATAGAAAATAAATTGGGTAATGTCCAAGGAAAGGGTCAGTTGAATATTCTCAAATTGGCTAAATTGATTAAGGATTTGCCTAAATATGATGAAAAGAGAGGACCTTTTTACAATATGAGTGTGTTTGAAGGTGAAATGAATAAAAGACAATTTGATGATGTGGTAGCCACAAGAGGTCTTTTGATCTGGCTGCCAACTTCATTAAGTGAATGGGTTAAAGTTAAACTCATTGATGTGTTGGAAGAGAAGTCAAGTGAAAAGCCCAGAGTTGAGTTGGAGGAATTGTTTCCAAATAATACACAGAGATTGCTAATGGTGGTACAGTGTGCAACTGGTGTGGAGAATTTTCAATTTTCTACTCTTGATTCATTCAAAATGGAGAAAAATGATGATATACGTGTTTGTGCTAATTTGTGGAATAAGGCATGGAATTTGATTACTGATACAGAACCATCTGCTATGTCTAAAGAACAACATAAGCAGAGTGTTACTGAATTTGTCTATAGAATAGCAGGGTTGCCAAATGAGATAAAATTAAGAGCTTTTGATTCACCCACATTTTGCTGCTACAGAAATAATGAAATCTTTGCAATTGTTGCAAAAGAAAAACACAGACACACTTTTCTCTAGGGATACTTCAGCAGGTCTGGCCCCTACTAACTATGTGTCTCGTGAAGAAGGTAGAGGAAGATATGAAAATAATATAAATGGTAATTTTAGATGGAGGTCTATGAGTAAACCACAAAATTACCAGGGTACTAGAAATTATTCGGCCTCATCCCAAGATAGATATTATAGGGTTAGTCAGAATAGTCCTATGATATGCTATAAATGCAACCAAGAAGGTCATGTTAGGAGATATTGTCCCAAAAATGAAGAAAAATCTTATCCAGTGAAAGGGAGAGAAAATGGCATTGTGCCAGGCTATAAGAATCTACAGAGAGTGGCAGCTGTAGAAACCGAAAATACATCTTCAAACCCCCCTCAAATATCAAATCTATATGAAGAGTGTATTCATTGAAATGAAGGTGGAAGCAGTCACAAGTCCACAAGTGAATTCTGCTTACCACACCAATAAATAGGGTTGTGTAACCCCTAGTTGTTCTCTGGTCTATCTCACTGATATTACTCTGGGTGAAGATGGACGGCCATATATTTATAGAACACTAGAGGGGAATATAACAGAGTTTTTAGTAGACACAGGAGCTGCAGTGTCTTTAACCAACAAACGCTTGCCTTTAAAAATTGAAGCACCAACAATTTCCCTTCGAAGTTTTAATGGAGCACATGCCCATGCAACTCTATCCACTGATAATGACATTGAATTTGAAGGAAGTAAAATAAATTGTGACTTATGGGTCGACCTCTCCTCCCACTGTACTATTTTGGGGATGGATGTTATCAATGGAAAAAAGTTGTATGTGGATTTATTGAATTTGGTTTTGTGACAAGCTCCAGGTGAGAGCAAATCAGGTGGAGTGGTTTGACCTAATGATTTAGGATGGTATAGTCATGTCATGTCTGTAAAACAAGGTGAAGTGTCCCCTTCTATACAACAAGATGATGATTTTGTAACCTATCTTAAAGAAAAATATCCCACAGTATGGTCTAAGTCTAAACAAGATTGTGGGAGAATGAATTTACAAGTTGTCATTGAAGGACCAGACACTCCTGCAGTAAAACAATATAAAATTCCAAAAGAATCAGAAGAAGGTGTGAGTCAAGTGATAGAGGCATTGGTATCTCAAGGAGTGCTGAGAGTGGGTAATTCAAATGTAATTCCCCCATTTGGCCAATAATCAAGCCAGATGGCTCGTATCGTTTAATTGTGGACATGCGAGTGGTGAATAAGTATACCCCACCAGCAGCCCATATAGTGGCCTCCTCACCAGATATCATGGCACAAGTAGATGGCAATGCTAAGTATTTTTCTGTCCTGGATATAGCCAATGGGTTCTTCTCAATACCAGTACATCCAGATAGTCAGTATCGTTTTGCTTTTTCCTTTAAAAATCATCAATATTTGTTCCAGGTGCTGCCACAAGGCTTCCACTCCTCGCCAGCTTATTTTCATAAAGCACCGGCTCAAGTATTGGAACCCCTGGGGTATGGGAGCATGATTTTGCAATATGTTGATGATCTGTTGGTTCAAACAGTAACAAGGGAAGAGCATGAGCAGATACTGTGTGATATTTGTCAAGCACTGGCAGATAATGGGTTAAAACTGAACACATTCAAAGTGCAGATCTTGAAAGAAAGTGTGGCTTTCTTAGAAGTAAATATAGATCCAGCAGGTAAAACACCACGAACAGCAAGGGTTAAAGCGTTACAGCAATTGCCAAGGCCAATGACAGTGTCTGACCTAAGGAAATTTTTAGGTTTGGTAAATTTTAGCAGAGAATTCATCTATGATATGGCAGGAATAGCAAAACCCCTGTACAATATGCTAAAAGATAGTGCTAATACAGATAAGCTACTCTGGACAGAGGAAGCTGAAAAAAGTTGGAACCTGTTAAAAGATGCTCTTACACAAGCACCTGTGTTAGCTGCTCCCATTGAAACAGTACCATATATTGTTCAATGTTACGCAGGTGTCTCTTCATTAATAGCAGTTTTGATGCAAAGGCAACATGGCTCCTTACGAATACTGGGATATTTTTCTAAAATCATGTCTCCAGTGGAAAGGGGAATGTTTTCCTGTATAAAACAGCTCTTGGCTGTATGTTGGGCTTTAGAAGCAACACAACACATTTTAGGATTTGGACAGCTAATTTTACAAACCCCCCACACGCCTTTAAAACTGTTACAAAATTGTCCAGATTTAGGAGTACATAGCCAGAGGGTAGCTCATTGGATATTGAAATTACAAGATAAACCACTCAAGGTAGAAAGCAGTAAAAAATATGTTATTCCTGAGTTGATGGAAATACAGGGAACGCCACATGATTGTCAAAAGGAACTGGAAATAGAATTCAAATCTCCTTTTGAGAAACAAGCAATACAAGGGGCTCCTTGTTTGTATGTGGATGGAACGAGATTTTATGCTGATGGATCACATCACACAGGTTATGCCATTTATGATGATAAAACAAAAGAAATGCAGAGATGAAATGGCAGAAGGAAACAGACTTGTAGATCAGGGAGCAAAGGAAGCTGCTTTAATAGGAGAGTTGCAATACTCAGAAAATGTAATGATTGCAACTGTGAGTAAAAGACCAATATCAAATCCCCTACAAGATCTGAAAGAAAATCAGAGTAAAGATGTAGCTTTCATTAGAGAAACAATGGATTTAGATACTGAAACTGGCTTGTACGGGATTAAACATGAGGAAACACAAACCTTTGTACCATTTGTACCTAGTGATTTATTGCAGGAATTGATTGTATTCAATCATCGTACACTGGGGCATTTGGGTACAGAAAACCTGTTTAAGGTCCTGCAAAATAAATGTTATCATCCTAATTTGAAACAATGGTGTACAAATATAGTGCAGGAGTGTCTCATATGTGCTCAATTTAATCCCAGACCTAAAGGTCAGAAACCGAAATTGAAGAGTACCTTTGGCAAAAGGACCATGGCACTCTATACAAATTGATTTTATTGGACCATTACCTATAGCTCCAGGAGGACTAAAGTAGGGATTGGTAATTGTTGATATATTCTCCAAATGGGTGGATTGTATAGCTCTTACCAATTGTACAGTGTTAACAACATGTAAGGCGCTATGGAAATATGTATTTTCTGTATAGGGTTTTCCCAGAATCATTGAATCTGACAATGGTCCACACTTCATTGGAGAAGTACTTAAAGAAATGTGTAAATTGTTGGGGATCCAACAAAGATTTCATGTCCCATATCATCCACAGTCGGCTGGCATAGTGGAAAGAATGAATAGGACACTGAAATCTAGATTGAAAAAAATGCTTGAAGATAAGGGGAGTAGTTGGGTAACACACTTACCAGGAGTTTTAATGTCTATTCGTGCAACTCCAAACTCCAAAACGCAAGTGTCACCTCATGAGTTAATGACAGGCAGAACCATGCCAATTACTTTCCCCAATGAACCTTTTGTTCCAAGTACTTTCAAAGTTGCTGCAGAACATGCTGAATGGTTAAAAGTGTTACATGAACAGCTGCAGTCAGTTTTGAAGTTTGCTGCTTTGAATATGGCCCCTTCTGGTAAACAATGGGTTAAAGATGTAACTCAGTGGAATTATGCAGATAAGTTTAAACCAGGATACAAAGTGATGGTAAAATCATTTAGAACACCAGGTCCCTGGCAGGCAGGTTGGGAAGGACCTTATGTTATTCTAAAGAAATTTGGACAAACTGTCTTACAGGTTCAAAGAGCAAAAGTTGGTAGGAAATGTAATAAAGCAAGTCGTGTGCATATTGATCAATTTAAACTCACAAATGTATAAGAATGCCATCTGTTTTTCATTACAGAATCAATAATGTTTGTTCATGGACAAAGACTGTTTAATTTTAAAAAGGACAAATTGTTTGGACTATCAAAAGACACTATGGACAAAAAGACTGCTCTCATGAATGCGATTGGAGAGGACATTACTTCATGGACTAAATCAAACCGATTGGGGTTTCTTGATAATGTAACCTTTATAAAATTGCACAGCATCATACTGTTATTAATCATGATGATGTTAGGTACAATCAATGTCCAAGGTACAGGTACTCCAGATTGTGACATTAGAGATACTTTTGCTAAATGTACAGCATACCCCTATGAGTGTAAAGTGAGATATTGTAAGACTCCTAATGTTGATTATTGTGGATGCATTAATGCAGACACATCTGAGGATGCAATATCTGGTATGCTCATATTTCATGATAACCAAGAACCATGTATGACATATCTATCAGCTGACGGACGAATTGATTTAATCATTAATATTACCAAGGATCTGACATATATAATGCAAAATAATACTGAGAGTAGGTGTGTGGTACCTACTGGTATAGACAACACCCTTACCCTTACTATGTTTAATGTGAGAAGTATTAACGATGATGGGTTAAATTGCTACATGTACTTAATAGATACACTTGTCAATCCTTACACAAATGCTAAAGTAAATATTATGATATAATACCACCCATACTAAAAAGGACTGATACTATTATGAAGTATGATCAACGTACTTTATATAATGTAAGTATAGGTTATGGAGCTGATTTCTATAAGCAGTTAAAGAACAATGAAGAGTTAATACAAGTAATTGATAAAGCTGCGACTGGAGTACATAACACTTTAGTACAAATACATACAGTGCAAGGTATGATTAAAAGCATTAAACATGATTATATCGAAGAAACCACATCCTGGTGGCAATGGTGGTTTGGGGGACAAAAGACCAGATTAGTTATGGGTATGACACACTTCATAACTCATCCTTTGGTAATTTTGATAATTATTATTATGATTTTATTCTTCTTTAGTTGTTATATGTCTAAAAGAATCAATCGTTTACGGTCTCAACTGATGGATGTGGAATACAGATGTAAATTCCTGACCACAAAATTAAAGTCTTACAAGGAATTGGAATACATTATGATGCATTATATTTACATAAAAAACATCAAAGGGGAACTTGAAAAATATTTTTATGAACTTTAAATGATCAACGTTTTGACCTCTTCAGGTCTTCCTCAAGATCTTGAGGAAGACCTGAAGAGGTGGAAACGTCGATCAGATGTATGTTACCTGTTATTAAATAATATCGAGTTTTTTTCTACAAAGACCTGAAAGTGCATCTCTTTCCTTTTTGCTTTACATATCTATATATTAATATCTAAATATAGTTAGAATAAAATTATATATATACTGGATTAGACTGGATTACAATAATTAATAAAAAAAAATTAAAAAAATACAAAACATTATTACATTTATATATATATATATATATATATATATATATATATATATATATATATATATATATTTATATATTACCCAAGATCCAGCGCACTCACCTATCCACTAAACAGCAACTTCAATGTTGAAAGATTGTATTTGTTTTTTTTAAAAACACCTAATCTAGGCAAAGATAATGGGGGTTTAGTTACATTATATGATCATACAGTGCATAAGCCTGCCACAACGTCAATGTACCCCATCTTTGGCAGGTCCTACACTAACAGCCTAATGTCTGCTCTCATGAGATTAACCTACTTGGGGAAAGAAATTCCATCTGGGGCTCTCTGCAGTACAAGGCTAAATAGGGCCCTGGGATGAGGCACCTGTGACAGGGAGGGGTGCAAAACCAAGGAGTTGGCTAGACTCCCAAATATATATAAAACAAGAGGGGGTTGGCAGCACTCACCTTAACATGCATAAATGGGGGTGCTGCTGGGGGCCAAATAATACAATACACAAGATCCAGCGCACTCACCTATCCACTAAACAGCAACTTCAATGTTGAAAGAAGAATATATATTAATATCAAAATGCAGTTAGAATAAAATTATATATGGCAGATAATGGGTTAAAACTGAACACATTCAAACACACACACTTTATAAAAAATTTTTTTTTATTATTATTATTTATGTTTAATATCTATATATAACACGTATTTATAAATCTTATATATAAATCTAATCGTGCTAAGTGTATTTTTTATTAATATATACTTATATTAATACAAAAATAGACTTAGAGTAAAATTACACCAATATATATATGATATATATAATAACTATATTTGTTGTATATATTTTATTTATTTACTTTATTTTTTCAACCTTTTTCTTCTTCTTTGAGTCAGTTCAGGCAGTCCCCCTGCTGACAGCACTATGGACATTTATTGCGACCATGTGACCGCTCTTTCAGAGCAATCACATGGCCCCTGGAGTACTTTTTTGCAGAGGGGGGAATGTCTGGGCTGTCAGACAGTCCCCGCATAAAAGAAGAACACCGATCACCAGCGGGGGAACGGCTGCGATTGCAAAAGTACATCAGAGAGGGAGAGAAGGAGAGGGAGGGAAGGGGTTAATTAAAAAAAAAAAAAATTATTTAAATTTTTTATTGTTCTTCCCCTCGAGGCACTCAGCACAGGCAGAGCATCGGATGCTCTGCCTCACTGCCAGGCTCCAATCCTGGGGGAGCGATCACTCGGAAGCCTGGTAGTCAAGGGGGGTATTGCACAATGCCTCGACATTGAGGAATCGCTGCAATACCGCTAGAGCGGTAATTAGCTTAAGGATTGTTTTTCTTTGGACTTACCTGATATGCACATTTTCAATCTGATCTAGAAACACAAATTTCAAATACACAGAAATTTCTTTCCCCAAAAGAGATATATTATTCAAAATGTTGACTCAGATACTTTTCTTACCTATACAAAATATAAACATAATATAGACTATAATTACCACAAAGTTCCTGGTCTTCCGTCCCTTTTTATTGGATAAGGAATCCAGTTTTTATAGAAAAGTTAAATGAAAAATATCTAGATAACTTTGATTGTTATGAGAATATTGAGTAAGAATAATACAGTTTAATAGGTGAAATAAATTAATACATCTATTCTCTATACCATTATATTGGTTTCTTTATCTCATTTAACTCTCACCTATAGATTTAACATTCTCCAACCAGATTTGGTGGGTGTCTAATATGATAATTAAGAATCTGCCATTGATTAATTACATTACACTAAATTTTACCAAAGTTCCAATACCAGTTGTGGCTCTTGTCTTATGAATGATTTTAATTTATTTCCATTTCCCGGAATTATTAATGAAAATCCATTTGTTTTCTTGATATTTAAACCTTTATGTGTTCTTATAAGCTATTGCTTTTGGCTAAATAACATATAATTAGGATCCCCTTAATTAAAAACTGTAATCCAGTCTCACATTAAAACAGCTCTATATGTCATAAAATTACTGTTGCTAAGAGTAAGAGAAAACAAGTACCACAAGCCTCTTTTTCCATAACAATTTTCTTAAACTGTGCCACAACATTGCTATCCTGCTAAGTAATGCTAAAATTGAAAATGTTAAATAAAGAATGCTAAATCTACTTTACAATCTCTAAATTTTAGATAAGGAACTGTAAATGTGAAACAAACAATGCATTTCAATGAACAATGTTAGTGTTTAATGTAAGTTTTATTGTTATAATTTAAGATAAGGATTGTTAAACTTCAGTTAAGCTAGCTACACTTTAAATAACACTCATTAAACGAAGATTATTGTGACATTTATTAACATATTTGCTATTAAATGCTGTACAACAGTTTTAAGATCAATATATAGGTTTACAGAAAAATCATGTTTTTTTTTTGTTTCTTTACTGCTTAGATTAAAAATTCAATACGAGCTATTAAACTGATGGAGATATACATCTTTTATTGTATTCTTATTTCATTCTAGCACAAATGGGACAGGTGTGGATATAAGATGATGGGGGCCCATATTCCACCCTTGGGAATCTGACTCTGTCTCCTCCTTGTAATCTTTGCCTAATGAACCCCATCTAGCTCACTGTATTAAATAAATGGCAGTCAAAAATCATGTATTTTTCCAGATTCTTATTGGAGGTTTCCATCCCTCTCACTACAGGTTCTAATTCAAGCTCACTCTCACCCAATTTCGTCCCATTACATGTCCTATTTCCCATTTTACAGGCTCTATCACCCCTTTATAGTTTATATGACCCACTACAGCATCCCCATTAATATTCCTTATATTAAGGTTCCTTCATTTACAGTTTCCTTTTACCTCATTATATTTTCATATCACCTCTTCTTAGATCTCATTCCCCCATTACAGGTTCCATATTTCCTCTGGCAGGACTTTACACGTCCTTATTCCTTGTGTAAGAGTCCTACATTATTAATGTTTTGCTGGAAGCTGGCCTTAGATATTCCCTTGCCTATTTTGCAACATGTGGCTTCTCAAGAAAAAAGAAGGGTGGCTAAAAAAAATTAGCACCATGTGTGTGTCAGTGTATCTGTGTGTACTTGAGTTTATTTGTTTATTTCTGTGTGTGTCTGTGTGTATATGTGTGTCAGTAGGCACCTGAGTGTATGAGTGTGTATCTGTGTGTATGTGTATCTTTGTGTGTAACTATGTGTCAGTGTGTGTATCTGTGTGCACACACACCTACTCCATACAAAAGCATACTTACATTCAAACACACAAACCACTGCTTAGTGGTAAATACAACCCTGACAAATTGATAGACAAATTGTAGATCCCTAGCTGGTAAAGCATTCTGGGACATGCACGACAGATAGGGATCTACATTTTTGCCACCCTTGTGCTAGAGGGAGGTCCAAAAAATATATTTTCTTGCCAAGAGCCCTTTCTATGTTAGTTCCACCACTTCCCCCTGAAAGCCCCCGGCAGCCTGTATAGTGAAGAGGGGGGCCAGCACACATGATCATCAGCTTCTTGAAGCACTCTCTAACTCTTGTGTGACCCTAGCGACTATACACTGCATCCACTACACACACACACACACCACATCCACGTTACACAAACTGCATCCACTACACAAATACATCCACTATATCAACTACACAAACACACTGCATCCTTGTGGGTGTACACGGGGCATGAATTAAGGGGCAGGCCCTGTGAGCAGTCTCTGGGGTGGACCTGGGGTCAGCCCTTTATGTAGGCAATGTGGGTTGCCATTTGAATCATATAATTTCCCACTTCTTGTACCATGCACAGGTTTTATGCATAATGCATTATGGTTGCAACAGTTGACTGGGCAGGCCTACTTCCACCATGTGTATATTGTATATATATGCAGACTGGCACTTGTCAGGTTTTCCGTCTACCGTGGATTGAGACACTATGAATTGGTTCATTGGGGATTATGGTTACAATTAACACATCCTTTTTGTCTTTATATTTCAGTGCCACTGTTCCCCCCCTTTTATTTATTTATAACTAGGCCCTTTAGGAAATATGTGTGTGACCTTTTTCAGTGCCACAGTCTCAAAACAGACAAAACAGAAAATTGAATATTTGCAGTAGTGGGATGCTATTGCAGAAATTGGCTATATACAAGTGATACCCCCTGGTTAACATACTATCAATGACCATTCTGTAAGCACTTAGTGATGTCACTGAAGTGCATAAACCACAGCATTATATCATATCTGGGCCTATCACTTATCTGGGAAAAAACAGGTTCAGGGCTTGAAGTCACCTGCTACAGGCACCTGTCCAGTAGAAAACAGTGCCTGTTTTCAGCATTTGTAATCTGCCCTTTTAAACTGAAATAGGCTGGTGGGGAGATATAAGTACCAGGAGCCTTGGTCAGTGTTCTCTGTAGTCCACTCAGTCTTAAGTGCAGACCTGCAGGGATAGTTTTGTCTAAGCTCCTTTAGTTGCTGTGTGTAAGGCTTAACAGGAAGGGGAAGGAATCACTTACTATCTGCACACTAGTATCTTCTCAGACAGATAATGCCTTCCTGGAGGAGTAGAGGAGGTCTTTGTGATGTGCACAGTATAATTACTCCTGCAGCTCTAATATCTTGATGTGTCTTAAACACCACTTTTTCTTAACCCTAAATTTAACCCCTCACAAAACCTATATAAACCCATCACTTAGTCCCAAATTTAAGCTCTCAAAGCCTAAACCTGAAGATAAACGCTTTACTTTTAAAAACTAAGTACCTCATTTACCCAATACTAAATTTAACCCAACTTTATCTTTAAATCATATAATCCTAAATAGCCCTCAAATTACAACATTAAGCCCTGTAAAACTTTTAATCTTAACACTAAAAACCCTATGTCATCTAACTCTGATAGTTTTTAACTTTATATTACTTTTTAAACTTTTTCTTACTTTTTTCTTTAACCCCTAACTAACTTAACACTAAACTACACAATTTCCCACTAAATACCACTCATTCCAACAAAAAAATTCAGTAAATTAAAATAAATTCTCACAAAGGGTTTGAGGGGGAGGAGCGATGACGTAGCACGCTCACTACGCTGGCGGGTTTATTAGCCGGGAGAAGGTCGATGGACGGAGAACGCTGCGGATTGAGAAGCATTTAAAGTGGAGATTAGCTAACATAGACACAAGGGGAGAAAGTCTACAGTAACACACCAGCACCATAAACCCAGAAATTGGCTCCTAGATTTGAAGGAGTGAGAACAGGGGATTGTGGGCAGAGGAACACGTGGCTGATAGATGCCGACATGCAACTGGAAACATCTGTTCGGTGGCAGAAACAGAAAAATACAGAGCTGTGGAGGACACAGAACTCCGTGAGTAGTGATGTACCGAACGGTTCGCTGGCGAACGGTTCCTGGCGAACATAGCATGTTCGCGTTCGCCACGGCGGGCGAACATATGCGCGGTTCGACCCGCCCCCTATTCGTCATCATTGAGTAAACTTTGACCCTGTACCTCACAGTCAGCAGACACATTCCAGCCAATTAGCAGCACAGCCTCCCTAGCAGACCCTCCCACCTACTGGACAGCATCCATTTTAGATTCATTCTCAAGCTGCATGCTTAGTAAGAGGAGGGAAAGTGTAGCTGCTGTTCATAAGATAGGGAAAAGCATAGCTAGGTTAGGGATAAGGGTATGCTTTTTTTTATTTTTTTTTTCTATGTAATGTAAATGCACTTAGTTGTCTGCCACTGCTGCCAGCTTCTGTGTCAGGCTCACAGTGCCCATTTCCCCAGTCAGTGCCACCAATTACATCTGGTGTCACAATAGCTTGGATTTAAAAACAAAAAACTTTTTTCACTGTTATAGATTGAATAGCAGTCAGTTGTCTGCCACTGCTGCCAGCTTCTGTGTCAGGCTCACAGTGCATACTGTGCCCATTTCCCCAGTCAGTGCCACCAATTACATCTGGTGTCACAATAGCTTGGATTTAAAAACAAAAAACTTTTTTCACTGTTATAGATTGAATAGCAGTCAGTTGTCTGCCACTGCTGCCAGCTTCTGTGTCAGGCTCACAGTGCATACTGTGCCCATTTCCCCAGTCAGTGCCACCAATTACATCTGGTGTCACAATAGCTTGGATTTAAAAACAAAAAACTTTTTCACTGTTATAGATTGAATAGCAGTCAGTTGTCTGCCACTGCTGCCAGCTTCTGTGTCAGGCTCACAGTGCATACTGTGCCCATTTCCCCAGTCAGTGCCACCAATTACATCTGGTGTCACAATAGCTTGGATTTAAAAACAAAAAACTTTTTTACTGTTATAGATTGAATAGCAGTCAGTGTCCTTAAAGCGGGTGTGTTACGCTAACAGTGGATACGCTGACAAGTGCCACTAATTAGATCCTGTGTCACAATAGCTTGGATTTAAAAACAAAAAACTTTTTTTATTGTTATAGATTGAATAGCAGTCAGTGTCCTTAAAGCGGGTGTGTTACGCTAACAGTGGATACGCTGACAAGTGCCACTAATTAGATCTGGTGTCACAATAGCTTGGATTTAAAAAAACAAAAACTTTTTTCACTGTTATAGATTGAATAGCAGTCAGTGTCCTTAAAGCGGGTGTGTTACGCTAACAGTGGATACGCTGACCAGTGCCACTAATTAGATCTGGTGTCACAATGGTTTGGATTTAAAAAAAAAATAATCTTTTTTCACTGTTATAGATTGAATAACAGTCAGTGTCCTTAAAGCGGGTGTGTTACGCTAACAGTGGATACGGTGACCAGTGCCACCAATTAGATCTGGTGACACAAAGCTTGGATTTAAAAAAACAAAACACTTTTTCACTGTTATAGA